AAAGTAGATCAAACATTGAACTTACATATTCCATGATTGGGGAAAGTACAATTTACATTGATCTGACATTTGCCGTGATTGGGGAAAGTAGATCCAACATTGAACTGACAATTGCCGTGATTTGGGAAAGTAGATCAAACATTGAACTTACATGTGCTATGATTGGAGAAAGTAGATAAAACAGTCCCCTGGCATTTAACATATTCTGCAACAACTCACTGTGAATATATGTTCCACTGTGGATAAATGTACTACAATTGACCATGGATAAATGTGCTACAACTGACCATGGATAAATGTGCTACAACTGACCATGGATAAATGTGCTACAACTCATTGTGGATAAATGTGCTACAACTGGCTCTGGATAAATGTGCTACAAATCATTGTGGATAAATGTGCTACAACTCATTGTGGATAAATGTGCTACAACTCATTGTGGATAAATGTGCTACAAATTACCATGTATAAAAGTGCTACAACTGGCTCTGGTTAAATGTGCTACAACTCATTGTTGATAAATGTGCTACAACTCATTGTGGATAAATTTGCTACAATTCACTGTGGATAAATGTGCTATAACTCACTGTGGATAAATGTGCTAAAACTCATTGTGTATAAATGTGCTACAAATCAATGTAGATAAATTTGCTACAACTCATTGTGGATAAATGTGCTACAACTCATTGTGGATAAATGTGCTACAACTCATTGTGGATAAAGGTGCTACAACTGGCTCTGGATAAATGTGCTATAACTCATTGTGGATAAATGTGCTACAACTCACTGTGGATAAATGTGCTACAACTCATTGTGGATAAATGTGCTACAACTCACTGTGGATATATGAAAACAACATCTTCTACGTCTGACGTTTAGCGTCGCTTGACTTTTGATTGAAGATTAACCTATGACACAGCAGAGTTTAAATATTTTTATTATTTTTTTTATAAGGGAATAAAACGTGTATTAAAAGAAATGCATTTGGCCATGCAGCAGTTACCGTACTTGAGAAATTCGTTCGAGCCAAGGGTATGCTTAACTGATCTCACCTCTAATTTCCTACTCAAGTTTCGCTGTCTGCTGGTCGGTTGCATCTCATCTCCGTTTACTCGTCTGTCTCTCTGTATGTCAGTTCACCTTATCACCTTTGCATTATCTATCACCTTCTCCATCCTCAACCCCCTGGCTTAACTGTGATCTTCCCCTTTATACAAGCGTTCCACTTTCGTCTGTTTTCGTCTAACGGATTGTGTCTTACCGTTGTCTCTGTCCATCATTTCGTCATTATTTCTATTTGTATCGCCTGTCCGGCTGAGCGCTAGTTAAAGCTAAAACCATACATCTTTAAAATAGAATAGTCTCAGAATTCCTAGAACTATGGCCACCTGTGGAACTGGAATGGAACACAGAAAGGTTGGAACTGTGCCACCAACAGAGAACAAACTTAACAGCGAGACACGTTTCTAGTGAAACACATTGTGATGTGGAGGGTATGGTGCGCGTGTGTGTGTGTGTGTGGGAGCGGGGGTGGTAGGATTACAAACACAGAGAGAAATATTTCTTCAATTATATGCAATCATGGTTGCGTAATCGAGATGGGCGGGGGGGGGGGGAAAGGGGGGGGAAGGATAACAATGT